GCGGATGCTGCTTCTTCCCCTCCGCATCCCTCTGCTCCGCCCCGAACAAAAGGTCCTCGATCGTAGGCGCCCGGCATCGGAGCCGGAATTTCGGCCCGTTTTCCCCCAAATTCTGCTCCTCCTCTGCAAACAAACAGCCGATCTCCTTGTATATTTTGAGATGATTAGGGACACCGGCCCCTCATTGTTTCCTTATTCCCGTCTCGCATCGATCCGCGGGACCAGACGGGAAGCACACAAGCTGCATGCACTCCCGGTCTGTGGAATCCATGTAATTTAATAAATAAATCAAATTTATCAAGAATCAAATTTAACCTGTAATTTAATTTGATCTTTAATGCAATCAATCTTCAAATTTATTTATTAAATAATTTAAAGTGACATATCATAAAGCCAGTTCATAATTAAAGTCCCATGAGAGAATCCGCTTTGAAATCTGCAATTAAGAAAATTGCGACTGTGAAATTCGCAATTTCTTACCCGAAACGGGCTCGACGATGGCCTCCCGGCTCAGCGCCCTCAGCGGGTGATCCACGTTTTCCTGGTCCGACTCCGGCAGCGGGTTCTCGATCGCCGACATCGTCGCCGCGAGCTCCGACTCGTTCACCTGGACGAGAGGGAAAAAAAATGTTGGGGGTGCGCGCCGGCGGGAGAGCGAGTTTTCGGCGGGAGGGAGAAGACTTGCCTGGACGGCGACGTCGCGGAGGGAGACCTGGTCGTCGCGGACGGGGACTTCGATCATCTCCTTCGAGCCGAAGCTCTTTGCTTCGCTGCTTGGCGTCAGTTCGTCGTCTGCCTTCCAGGATTCCTCGCCATCTGGCCGACCAATGACCAATGACCAATGGGGGATTTTTTGGGAGGGTCGTCGATCATGTGGGGCCCGGGAGATCGGGAACAATGCATGCCGGGACGACGTCATCCGGTTTGGAAAAGGTTTAATTACGAGGTTTGATTTACAACGTTTTTTATGGGCTTGGAAGGATAAAAAGGGGCGCGATCGACTCGATTTGCTTTGCAATCGTTGTGGGGCGCCGGTATGAGGTCCCATAAAAAGGGGCAGCGGTTTCGAAGGAAGCAGCGCCTTTGTGATAAAATACATAAATAAATAATAAAATAATTGGTACCTTGATCGTTGGTCTGGACGCCGGTGGAAATGGACGAAGTGGTGTCCGTCTCGTCCTCCGAGACGTCCTCGGATTTTCTCGCGTCCTGGACTTTCCAGGACGTGGGTGCGTCCACCCAGAGTTCCTGCGCGGCCAACAGCTGCTCCTGCGTGGCCACCCACTGCTCCTGTGTGGCCACCCATTGCTCCACCCTCGAGATCCTGTCCCGGTCCAGGCATCCTTTGACCTGGATCGCCTCGAGTACCCTCGCGCGGGGGAACCGCGGACCGTCCACCCACTGCTCCTCCGGGTAGAGGTGTCGTCGGGGAGGAGGTGTCTGCGGGACCCGCAGGGGCACCGCGGGAGCACGTCGAGGCGGCGCCGGGCTGCGAAACGGCGGGAACCGAGCCCTACCCGGGCCCGGCGGATGCTCCCCGTCCGTCGCGTCGTCCACGCTCGGTCCCAGGTATATCACCGTGTCCGCGCTCTGTTCGCTGCTCGACGGGTCCACCGACGACGACGAACCCTCTTCACCTGGGCTCCACCCTCCTCCGACGCCCTGTCCGTGACGTCACACGCAAAGTACTCATAAGTACCATTCCGAGAAGAGACTCTCAGCTCGTTAGACTTATTTTTTATTTTTTATTTTACTATTCTAGCGCAAAAAAAAATAGTGAAATATTTTCAGCGATGCAAATCCAGGACATCCGCTGAAAAATCCACTGGGATCATCAGCATCCGGTCGGAATAATCCATGAGATCCCCGATCCCGGATTCCAGATCCCGGAGCACGGCACTTTAAAATCAAAGAAGGATCCGAATATTAATATTAATATTAATATTGAGAAGCTCGGGGCCAGGGAAATTCCTCCTGAATTTTTCATTAGAGTTCTTCCCTCTTCTTTTTAGAAATAATTCCCGCGTGTCTCACTTTGCCGTTGACGATGGAGTAGAGACCTCTGCGGGTTCAGAATTCGTCGCTATGACATGCTCGACGGGAAGTAATTGACATTCTGCCAATTGACGTTTGTCAATTATCACTTTAAATTCATTTGTCCCATTTTTTTGCTTTGAATTAAAGGCCGAGTACCGAGGAAGTCCTTTTCAGTACCTTGAGGCGTCGCCTCCTCAGCCGGTGGATCCTGGACACGAACTGGACGAGGGCGAGCGTCTCCTGGTAGTCCCCAGGCGCGCCTGACACGTGCGCCAGGACCGATACCTGGCACGTCAGGGACGATATGCACGATCCCAGCAGCCTCGCAAGGCGGCTCTCCCTGACGGATTCAAAAAGGGTTTAAATGTATTTATATGATATATTATTAAATTTTAATTTTATTAAATCAATTT